AACATATACACATCAGACCAGTTGCAACATATACACATCAGACCAGTTGCAACATATACACATCAGACCAGTTGCAACATATACACATCAGACCAGTTGCAACATATACATCAGACCAGTTGCAACATATACATCAGAACAGTTGCAACATATACATCAGACCAGTTGCAACATATACATGTGACCAGTTGTAACATATACATGTGACCAGTTGCAACATATACATCAGACCAGTTGCAACATATACAAGTGAAACTTGGACTATAAAAAAAATGACCGAAAACATATTAAACACGTGGGAGAGAAAAGTTCTTAGAATATGGATCAACAAAGGGTGAATATGGATGGAGAATACAAACCAACCATGAATCGTATAGTCTGTATCAGGATCCCACGCTGGTAGCAGAAGTAAAAAAAAAGGGCAGGCTACGCTGGGCAGGACACTTAGAAAGAATGCCAAATGACAGATGAGTGAAGAAGGTGCATCACCAAAATCCCAGAGGAAAACGGCTTAGATGGGTGGATGATGTGGGGGAAAAAGCTCTACAACAACCGGGAATCCAAGCATGGAAAAGATAAGCATTAGTTAGGTCTGAGTGGAAGGAAGTAGTGAAGCATGGGCTGTAGCACCACAGGGACGGACGAATGGATTAATTTAGGAAATTAAATGGCTAACTGTTTTCATCCGTCAGAAATATGTACCAATGTGGACTCTTCAAGTTTTCCGATTCCCGCAGGCTAAAAAAGCAAAGATCTGTTGCTGGGGCTATACGGAGACTATCCCGCTATTCTTTTTTCAAAACTACAGACTCTCAATCACAGTAGCAGAGTTACATATAGACGTATCATACTCAAAACTCGACCTTTGATGACCGTATCTGTTCTACAAATCTTCTTTTCAACACCACCTCTCTCTCTCTCTCACTCCCCCGACACTCGCACATTAACACCCCCATGGACAAAGACACATGAAATAACAGCGCCCCCCCCTCCCTAACCCACACACCGCACCATACAAGCATTATGCAGTTGAGCAACCACCTCGCAGAGAGAAGTGAGTCTCGTATTTCTGGACTCCTCTACTTGACGTACTTGACTGCTGCTCTCAGGAGCGTACACACGCGATGCCCATTTATGAAATCTCGACCATCTTGGGGTCCAGGACCGTTTCGCCCATTCCTTCTTTGCTTCTGGTTGAGGGTGCGAATCTCCTTTTTTGTGTGGATATTTTGGGCAAAACAAAGGATTACACAGGAGTGTGACATGCATTGACAAGTGCACGAGTGCATTTCAGCATGATATACCGTGAAAAGGGCAAGAGAACATAGCAGTATGACAAACATGTTGAAGTGCATGGGTATATAGCAGTATGACAAACATGTTTAAGTGCATGGGTATATAGCAGTATGACATACCATGGCAAGTGCATGAGTACATAGCAGTATGATATACCGTGAAAAGGGCATGAGAACATCGCAGTATGACAAACAGTCTAAGTGCATGAGTACATAGCAGTGTGACACATTATGTGCGTCACCTGGTGAGAAAAACATTAATCTTGTTGCATCTCGGGTTAAAAAAATTGCGTGCAATATTATTTTTTTAAACAAAAATAATAGCCTTGATGCCAGAAAGCCCTGCCAAACGACATCAAATTTCAATGTCGAGCGGAGAGAGAGGAAAAATGTGACTGTACTTTTTCAGTGTGCCCTTAATCAACGGGGTACCATGTTTATTAAACAAAAAAATGTCAACAATTACTGCATTTTAAAACGTCTCCCTCTTTGCCTCTTAAATTTTTAAATTCCGTTTCATAAAAATACCTCCTCCCTGACGTAAACTGCCTCCTCCAACATGAAAAATACCTCCTCCCTGACGTAAACTGCCTCCTCCAACATGAAAAATACCTCCTCCCTGACGTAAACTGCCTCCTCCAACATGAAAAATACCTCCTCCCTGACGTAAACTGCCTCCTCCAACATTAAAAATACCTCCTCCCTGACGTAAACTGCCTCCTCCAACATGAAAAATACCTCCTCCCTGTCTAAAAGAGCCTCCCGGTCTAACTTATTCTACCTTCAACATAGTGTGCCTCAAAGACGACATATGAGGAACACATCCGATCCATCTCCCATTCACTTATCAAATAAAATAAACCCACTACGGCGATGTCTCGGGCATCAGAGACGGATGACGTCACGGGACACTTGACTTCCCGGGGACCTTCCGTGGTCAACTATATTAGCCGGGAGCACAACTGCCTCATTCATATAACACAGAGTGTCCACTAGAAGTCAAACGACTTTAAGTTCATTTATATATTTATTCTTTTAAAAAAAATTTGATGCATACTATTGACTAGAAACAAACACTCGAAGCACAAAGTAAATAGTCAAATCTCTTACGACAACTTTCAATGAAGATCTTTTTTTTTTAAAAAAAAACGTATCAAGTCTTGTTAAAGTAAAATATTTTTTAAAAATTGTTTTAAAAATAATTTTTTTATGTGTGTCTGGATTTATAAACATCAAGACACAACTCTGCTTAATCATTACGGGAAGATGTGTGCTCTACTTCTGCTGATGTTGATCGTTTCACTGCCGGACGCAGACGGCATCGTGGCCACTGTCGGATTAGGGACACCGAGGTAAACTTTTGTGTTGTTTTTTTCTTGTGTGTGTGGGGTTTTTTTTGTATGTGTGTGTGGTCATATCAAAGGATTATTGTGATCCATCAGGGTTTCCGAGTTAGGAATGAGAACCATCGTGACTCTAAACTTAAGCACGTGATTCAAACCTGAACATATTATCAATATAGTCGGTAGAGTCGGGATAATAATGAGAGTCTGCGGACAATTATTTTGATATACATGAACAGGTGTCGGGGAAAATATCGTGGCAGATAAGTCTCCTAATATAAAGGACATTTTTTGTTCGACTTCAAAAAGTTGACGGCCTTTGTTTTCAGCATAATGAGAGTGAACAATGGTATAACAATATATACATATACAATTGCGATACTGGAACTTCGGGTATAGGATTACAGACAGTTTTCAGGATATACATTTTCCATTAACTTGATAATACACAAAACAATCAGTTGATGTTCAGTTGATGTTCAGTTGATGTTCAGTTGATGTTCAGTTGATGTTCATTTGATGTTCAGTTCATGTTCAGTTGATGTTCAGTTCAGTTCATGTTCAGTTCATGTTCAGTTTATGTTCCGTTCATGTTCAGTTCATGTTCAGTTCATGTTCAGTTTATGTTCAGTTCATGTTCAGTTCATGTTCAGTTCATGTTCAGTTCATGTTCAGTTCATGTTCAGTTCATGTTCAGTTCATGTTCAGTTCATGTTCAGTTCATGTTCAGTTCATGTTCAGTTCATGTTCAGTTCTTCCAAATTTAGTAGAGCTCGTTCTTCTAAAATATGAGCTTGTTGAGTAATATTACAACACAGACAAGGGAATGGTGTTAAATTACATCCCTAACAGGGTACCATGGGATATATATTTAAGAATCTGAAACTCCTGCCAAGTGCACATTTTTCTGACCCCCTAGGACTAAGCACTTGTCCAACAGATGTTTAATTGACTCATAAAGTGGGAAACGGATTTCTGGGGAAGGGGGGGGGTCAGTAAATATGAGAAGTGGGCTCTTTGTTGAGTCCAGCTTTGTCGAGTAGATGTATAATAACAAAGTACGCACACATGCACAAATTGAGCAATGTTCTTAGACCTGTCACGGACATTTTTGATGACGGTCAAGTTGAAGTTGTCCTTGCTTGGACTCCACTTGCGGTGTCTCCAGACCGGTCAAGGACATTCCCAACAGCTGTCAAGTTGACGGTACTATTGAACTGCACCACCAGTCTTGATGTCTCCCTACCCGTCACGCTACAGCAGTGGTCGGCAAATCACGGCTCGCGAGCCGGATGCGGCTCTTTAGCGACCTGAGTGCGGCTCGTCCAGTCAACTGAAAATCGGTTTTGACTCCGAAAAGCACGAATCTTGACAGGTTCTTGAAAAGAAACTTTGCTATCAAATTTTTTTTAATCGTCCTGCTGATTTTTAGCTCTTATGACTAATGAGTTGGCCGACTATTGCACTATAGCATTATTTTTTTTTTAAAAAAAGGGGGGGGGGTGGGGTGGAGGATTTGGACTTAGCAAGATAGTGAAATATATACGGCATATATTATTTTTGCAGCAGTGTGACAGTAATAGTTCTGAAAAGCCAATAAATGTAGAAGGTGGCCTATAATGAAGTAGGCTCATGAACTGAACGACCCTCCCTGACTTTACAGCTCAGTTCAAGACTACTACTCAAGTTAAAGCCTTGGTGATCGTCACATGCGAAAGACGAACAATAATGATAATATAATTAAGTGGCACATGCGGTCGTGGCAAAGACACGTTATGATGAGGGTCTGTGGCTCAAATTCGAGCAACATCAACGTTAGATACCTGCCCTCCCCCCCCCCCCCAAAAAAAAAAAAAAAAACCCTCCCCTTACCCATCGTACGAAAAAACTTAACACCATTGACGCTAAAAGAATATTGATTTCAGCTAACGGCTCATCTTGTTGCAAATAGTGTGAAGATATCCTCCCAAAACGTATCCACGAAAATACGGAATGAACACAAATTTGACTCTGCTGCTGTCTACGGGACCGTGGGTGGTAGTTGTTCACTTGAACAGAAATGTTCACGCTTGGGGAAACGTTTATTCAGTATATATTTTTGTGATCTTTAAAAAGAAAATGGTGGATGCTTTTCTTTTCTCGCTAACGAGCTGTGTATCCCCATGATATGCAACGTCTCGAGAAACGACAGTCAGTCATGCACTGATTTATTTCTGTGTGAAACACTCCTCCACGCATAATTACAAAACACGATGCAATTATTCTAAATAGGCTTACTGGTTCTATAAATCTATAAATTATATACGCAGAATCTATTACTAATAAGTAAGTCAGTTACAATTTTTCATTAGTCCGTTAAAAGCTTAATTAATCTTTTTTTCTTCTTTACTTTTTTTTAATTCAAATTATATATATTTATATATATATATATATATATATATATATATATAATATNTGGGGGGTTATCATATTGGTTATATTGGTCGTCCATTAATTATGTCACCAAATTAGAGGGGGGTGGGGTAGAAATGTTTGACAATTGTTGACAAGAGGGAGGGGGTTGTTGACGTCAACAATCATGTTTTCTCTATTAAAATTTTAATCTTAAAAATTGACTGGTTATTACATTAGCAGCTACTATGCCCATTGTTACGATAGAGCAACACCTGTCTACTCCCTGATAAGATGATGGCAGCTAGAAACTATGCCACAGTTGTCAGCTATACTGACACTAATCGTATTTCTACTTCCACAAACAGTGATATTTAGCCTTTAACAACCATTTCATTGATTCTGCATTATACAATTTAAGTGTGAAAACGCTTTCACTTAACAAGCTAAAGATGTAATAAAATGTGTTTCCTACAATTTTGTGTCATTAAAATAGATCATCACAAAGTAAAATGTATTTATGTTATAAAATTTATTTCTATTATAATTTATTTGTTTTTTTGTTTTGTTTTTTTTTTGGGGGGGGGGGGTCACTGAAAGTTTGACAATTGTTGATTGACGTAATTAATGGACGACCCCTAATGAAGTAATTTAAAGTTGTTTGATCCAGTTTCCTCAAACTGGAGCGCGGCATCGAACAGCTTCTTTAATTTCACCTAAAAGTAAATGAATCGTTTAATTGCATAAAACCTCAATTCTGGCCCCTTTTTTATTTATTTCTGTGGGCTACGTTCAATTTTTTGTAAAACAGAGTAACTTCCCCATGGTTGCCGCCTACTTTAACCCATTTGGGTTGGTTCCAAAATTATGTAGTAAGTTGTTTCTAAACTCGATTCCAGTAAGTTAAGCAGGGTTAATTAAAACAGACCCTAAAAATATAGTTTAACAAAAAAAATAAAAGTTATACTTTTTTTACTCTTAATAATTTCAAACCATGACAACAACAAATGATATGAAAGCGGAAATGATATTCACCTACCCATTAGTTCTTTTCTCTCCGAAAATAATTTTTTTCCCTTCGTGTACGTGTCCCATACACAATAAACATATCAGTGCATTTCAACATTCAAACTCAATATTAAATATTTCTACTTAGTGATCTAATAATAATCCAAAAAATAAACGACGCAGAAAAATCGTCATATTGATTGGTTCAGAAAAACTATGAGAATTCTGTGGCACATTTTCTTCCTTTTTGTCATGAATCAACTTATTACCTTTTGTTTAGAAATCCCTTTACACCAGAACTTATTCCCTTTTGTTGAGAAAGCCCTTAACGCCACAAATTATTACCTTTTGGTTTAGCACCACACCTTATTAACTTTTGGTTTAGAAATCAACTGACACCACAGCTGATTATCTTTGTTAACACCATAACTTTTTACTTTTGGCTTTAGAAACCGATGTCCAAGAGAGGAGTACAAGCGCGTGAGCTGCACGGTCGCCTTAACCAACGGAGACAATGGAGGGTATTATTTATCAGTGTTTTGTTGCGTGTCTTATTTTTCTATTGCCATTCAAGGTCGAAAAATTTTCTTAGAATGTGTTACTGTCACGATCACAGTGTCTTGCAAATAACACCAGAGGCGAGGTGGTTACATAATAGTGGCTAATTTATTAGAAGTTAGAAGCAATCAAAATACGAAATACATCTCATACAAATCCGAACATACTTGGAACCAATATCATACTGATCTCAATACTTAAATCACCAGTGGCTAATCTTATTGACTTCTTAAACTTAATAATGTATCACCACGCTATAGACGACTGTTCAATCTTCTAAAATACGTTTCGTGAATCCACTGTCATATTATTATACAAGGCATCATTTCTTGTTTCTTCTCCTTGCTCTCTGATTGGCCAGTTTTTTCAAAGTCCCAATACTCTGTATATTACATAAGGAATAGTTCCCATAGTACTTATCTCCCATATAGTCATATCTGTGACAGTTATAATTAGTGTTGTATTAAATTATTCATGTGTCCGTTGCAAAAAAAAAAAAAAAAAAAAAAAAAAAAAAAAACAAGTTGACTTGGGTATATGCTTACACAGCAACGCCACACAAACATAATTGGCTAGGGTTGTGTAAAAAAAATGGGCCCACATTTTAAATTATGCAGACTATTGAATTGACTGGGACAAACTTTACTTTCTCTGGAAAAATTCAGGGTAATATTTAGATGAGTGTGTTCATCGGCGTCATTGTGTAGTGCCCCACCCCGTCATTGTGTAGTGCCCCACCCCGTCATTGTGTAGTGACCTACCCCGTCATTGTGTAGTGCCCCACCCCGTCATTGTGTAGTGCCCTACCCCGTCATTGTGTAGTGCCCCACCCCGCCCCCCTACGATTAATTAGTGCCCCCCCCCGTCATTTTGTAGTGCCCTACCCCCTCATTGTGTAGTGCCCCACCCCGCCCCCCTACGAATAAATTCAAAAAAAAAAAAAAAAAAGAAAATAACTATTTAAACCACCTTTTTCAGGAAGCTCTTTCTTGACCGAAGGTGATCTTGACTAAATGTGATCTTGACTAAATGTGATCTTGACTAAATGTGATCTTGGCTAAATGTGATCTTGACTAAATGTGATCTTGACTAAATGTGATCTTGGCTAAATGATCTTGACTAAATGTGATCTTGACTAAATGTGATCTTGGCTAAATGTGATCTTGACCAAATGTGATCTTGGCTAAAGTTATCTCCTACGGAACTCGTCAAAATGCTCCAAGAGTTGCTCTGACGCCCGCCTTTATTGTTAACATTAACATATTCGTTATCTTTGTTTTGTTTTGTTTTTTCCTACATATCTCTACTTATTTGATTTTGTCCAGCCCTGTCGTTAGCCGAAATGTGTACAAGTGGAAACGGTTCGTGACGTGGGAGTGTTGTCCTGGTTTCCAAGGGGAGAACTGCCAGGAAGGTATGACGTCATATTTAGTTGTAATGCTGGCCTGAAAATGTTTTTGCCGAATTTTTTTTTTGTTGTTTTTTTTTGTTGTTTTTTGTTGTTGTTTTTTGTTGTTGTTTTTTTTACTTTGATTTAAAGACCAAGATTTTTATTTTTTTTTCCCGTACGACCGAAATGTCGTTGTTTGTAAGACGATCTAAAGACGATTTTAGTGCTCCACCCCTCCCCCCCCCCGCCCACCTTTGTAGGTGCCGGGGGTAAGTGATCCCCTTTCACACCCCTTCCCGCGGCGCTGCGTTTATGGATCAGCGTCCGCACTGATCTCATTGGCGCCATGGTGAGGTGGGATATGAAGGTCCCCATTTCAAAATGGGGAAAATGGAAAACGTTTTCACTGAAATTAAGAATACAATGTAAAAAAAAAAATGCCCGCCAATTTGCTAGAAGCCCGACATCAACAGGCCTGAAGGACCGGTGCCGGTACGGATCAGTCAGTTTTGAGGCGTTCATATTCTCTGGTACTGAATGGATCTATGGATAACATTGATGGTCCTACTATAGGGCAGCTCATAAGAAAAAGTGACATTATTTTTTTATTCCACAACTCCGCCATTTGATCTACCCAAATCTTCATACGATTAGTACAAATCATGTCACGGAAGATTTATTGTACTCCCCAGTTAAGAACATTTCCATGAATGACTTTCGTAACCCGAATTTCATTTTAAAAACACTCTGATAAATGATTAATCTTTGATCATTATTTGATATTTATTTCATTTATTAGGGGATTTTTTTTTTACAACAATTTTAATTTTTTTAATTTATTCCAATTCAGCGTGTTTCTCGTGTGCAGTATTGTCCAATCTGTCCGATAGAATCGCCCTGGCCGAGAAGGTGATTACAGAGGTAAGTCACGTGATCATCAACTCATTGTTTACAATGAAAAGATTTGGATCTTTGCCCTAGGCATACAATGGAATAATGTCTGAAGAGCTTATGAATACATGTGATAATGGGAGGCTGCTGTGAGGTTGAAGTAATATGAAATATAACATACAGCTTGCTTTTGTGGACTATAACATACAGCTTGCTGTTATAGACTATAACATACAGCTTGCTGCTGTAGACTATAACATACAGCTTGCTGTTGTAGACTATAACATACAGCTTGCTGTTGTAGACTATAGCATACACCTTGCTGTTGTAGACTATAACATACAGCTTGCTGTTATAGACTATAACATACAGCTTGCTGTTATAGACTATAACATACAGCCTGCTGCTGTAGACTATAACATACAGCTTGCTGTTGTAGACTATAACACACAGCTTGCTGTTGTAGACTATAACATACAGCTTGCTGTTGTAGACTATAACATACAGCTTGCTGTTATAGACTATAACATACAGCCTGCTGCTGTAGACTATAACATACAGCTTGCTGTTGTAGACTATAACACACAGCTTGCTGTTGTAGACTATAACATACAGCTTGCTGTTGTAGACTATAGCATACAGCTTGCTGTTGTAGACTATAGCATACACCTTGCTGTTGTAGACTATAACACACAGCTTGCTGTTGTAGACTATAACATACAGCTTGCTGTTGTAGACTATAGCATACACCTTGCTGTTGTAGACTATAACACACAGCTTGCTGTTGTAGACTATAACACACAGCTTGCTGTTGTAGACTATAACACACAGCTTGCTGTTGTAGACTATAGCATACACCTTGCTGTTGTAGACTATAACATACAGCTTGCTGTTGTAGACTATAACATACAGCTTGCTGTTGTAGACTATAGGGGGGGGATTTTTGGGGGGTTAGGGTTGGGTGTGATGGAATGTGTTATCACCGGCAACGAGTCTATGTGGCAAGTTTCAGCTCGATAGGTTGACGGGAAGTGGGTTAATTAGCCGTCCGAAAAGTTTGCCAGCCACGAAGAAAAATTAAGTTCCTACAGAGGATTTAAAAAAAAAATTATTACCCTGTTCAATCTCTAATATATTATATAATATTTCCATTGAGCTTTTCGGTGAAGCTATCGCTGGACTGAGCGGTCCGTGTAGCGTGTTGCGTAAACACCATATCAATGGCATCACTGTAATGAAATTCATGGGTTTGCGTGTGGGTGTGTGTGTGTGGGGGTGTGTGTTTGTGTGTTGGTTGTCATCTTGATAATAGAAATCGTAAACAAAAATCTTACAAGCTCATTAACATGTAGGCGTGTCTTCTTTCGGGGAATCGTTCTGACGAATTCTGCAATCGTACTGACGAATTCTGAGTCATAATTGTGTTAATTGGGGAGGCTGATGGACATTACTCATAACAATGGTTCACCCCAGCACTGATCGCCGTCACCATTGTTTACACCCCCTTTCTCCCCCCCCCCCGACCCCATCGCACCCCCCTTCTTTCCCCACCACTTGATGAACAAATCAATTTAGCATCTAAATGCTTCAATCACTTCGAGACCAGCTTGTTAAGACGCACGAGTTTCCTTGATAATTGCTTGCAGTGCCGCCACTCTGCCACGTCATTATTCGGCCATGACGAGTTTTTTTCCTTCTAAACATCAATTGAAGACGGAAATATTTACACACCAATGCGACATGTCAACAGATGTGAGGGGCGTGGTCCATACACTCTTAGAGCAGCGATCCCCTCCCCCTCAAATGGTGGTTCTCGGACCGTCAGTGGGTCCACGAGCCTTCCGATGCCGGACCGCACATCATGAGTATTTATGGTCAAATAAGAAAAAAAATATCATTTTTTTTTTAAAATATGGCCACGGTCCCTTGGTGCAATTAATAACTTTTCCACCGGTCCTCAAAACTGTTGAGAAACGCTACTCTAGTGTTCAAGGGCATAACTAAAAGCAGATGCTAAATTGCAATTTTTCGTGGGACAGTTTTATACTTTTGATTTTTAATAAATATTTTTTTTTTTAAATATTTAACATGAGCTTTAATTGAATCTTTTCAAAATCTAGGTGCTAACATTCCCCTAGGTTCTGTTCCCTATAAAAAAAATTTCTACACATTTTAGTCATGGGAGATAGTTTCAAATGTCTCCATTTGCGTACTCCGCAATTCAACTAAAATATTTGCAAACATTTGTCATCAAAATTTCGAATTACTCAAAAATAAATATAAACATAAGCGTGAAAAAAGGGATAAAATATACATTATGCTGCTCATTCCATTTAATTAACCATAAATGGCAAGAGATGGGTGCTAGTAAACGAAATTGATTCCCTTTTATGTGGAGCGATAAGATGGTCTTATCTAATATAAACAGCTAAAAGTTGCTGAAAATTCGTTCAGCATAGGCGCTAGCTTGGTGAACTTCATCATAGAATTCCAAAAACATTTTTTTTTTAAAATCACATTTTAACAACTTTGGTGGAAAAAAAATACGTTTGAGACTATAAAAAGAAAAGCATGTATCCTTTTTTTTTTTTTAAAGATCTAATTTGATTTGGTGCATTTTATATTTTGTAATATGATTATAATAGTAGTAGACCCAATGATTATAATAGTAGTAGACCCAATGATTATAATAGTGGTAAACCCAATGATTATAATAGTAGTAGACCCAATGATTATAATAGTAGTAAACCCAATGATTATTATAGTAGTAGACCCAATGATTATAATAGTAGTAGACCCAATGATTATAATAGTAGTAGACCCAATGATTATAATAGTAGTATACCCAATGATTATAATAGTAGTAGACCCGATGATTATAATAGTAGTAGACCCAATGATTATAATAGTAGTAGACCCAATGATTATAATAGTAGTAGACCCAATGATTATAATAGTAGTAGACCCAATGATTATAATAGTAGTAGACCCAATGATTATAATAGTAGTAGACCCAATGATTATAATAGTAGTAGACCCAAGACACGCAAAAGATGCTTTAACCCCGCCTCTGGGCCCCATTTCTTTCCAGCTCAGTCTCTACGACGAACGCAACGAGGTCACCAAGCGCCCACAGCCCCTCGTCAAACACGAGACGTGCCCATGCGAGAGGGGGCCCGCTGGCCCACAGGGTCCCGTGGGCCCTGTAGGAAAGATGGGTCCCCGTGGCCCAGTTGGTGCGCCAGGAAAAGGAATGTAAGCTTAGAACACTTTAGGACAGCGGTTCTAAACCAGTGGGGCGTGACACCCCCCCCCTTTTTTTTTGAGACCAACGGAAAACACATTTATGAGGTAGCGACGAAAATAATTTTATGGTTGGGGGTCATCACAACATGAGGAACTGTATTAAAGGGTCGCGGCATTAGGAAGGTTGAGAATCACTGCTTTAGGATGAATTGGGACCTCTGGATGGTCGGGGTGTGACAGAAGGGATGTTTATGAAATTATGACAGTTTAGGGATAAAAATGGGATAAGGATATTGGTGTTTAAAGTAAGGATTCGGGAGTGATCAACACTATAGGGAATCACAGCTGAGAGCAGAGGCATTGGCAGCAGATGAGACATTAACAGATGAGACATTAACAGATGAGACATTAACAGATGAGACATTAACAGATGAGACATTAACAGATGAGACATTAACAGATGAGACATTAACAGTTGAGACATTAACAGATGAGACATTAACAGATGAGACATTAACAGATGAGACATTAACAGATGAGACATTAACAGATGAGACATTAACAGATGAGACATTAACAGATGAGACATCAGCTTAATGGGACCAGGTTCTTTAGACCTTTCTAGAATGTGAATTGTTTAGGGCCGCTTCTGATGAAGGGGGCTCATTCGTGCCAACTGGTAAAAACTGAAATTTTGTGTAAGAAAATAATAACAAAGCTCCCATTATTGCAAAGAGAAGGAAGTATGACATAGTATATTGGAGTCGTCAGCTTTGGTGCTGAAAACGTTAAATGGAATGGGTATTCTGTTATGTTCAAACATTACAAAAATTATGGGACATTCATTTTTGTATCAAGGTGCTCTAATGGTTAACGAATTATTTTTCTTGATAGTCAGGCTAATAAATCACTTACATTTCTCTAACAGAGAGGGTCCACCTGGACCGCCAGGACCACCTGGTCCACAAGGCCCGCAGGGAATGGTCGGTGTGCCCGGTCTGCCTGGGTTCCCGGGGATGCCGGTCACGAAGTCCACCCCCACGGTCAGGTCGGGAAATAATAAGGGGACAAGGGAGGCCGCCGTGTCCAGTGGAAGTATGAAGATGTTCAAGGCGCTCCAGAGGCGACAGGAAAGAGGTGTGAAATCTTTACGAGGCCGTGTTACGTCGTAGTGGGCTATTGTGTGTTTAGTCGCAGTGGGTTGTGTGTTTATTTGCATTGGGTTGAGTTTTTAGTCAAAGTGGGTTGTCTGTTTAGTCATAGTGGGTTGTCTGTTTAGTCATAGTGGGTTGTCTGTTTTGTCATAGTGGTTTCTGTGTTTAGTCAAGGTGGGTTGTCTATTTAGTCATAGTGGGTTGTCTGTTTATTCATAGTGGGTTGTCTGTTTAGTCATAGTGGGTTGTCTATTTAGTCATAGTGGGTTGTGTGTTTAGTCATAGTGGGTTGTCTATTTAGTCATAGTGGGTTGTCTGTTTAGTCATAGTGGGTTGTCTATTTAGTCATAGTGGGTTAAGTTTTTAGTCAAAGTGGTTTGTCTGTTTAGTCATAGTGGGTTGTGTGTTTAGTCACAGTGGGTTGTCTGTTTAGTCATAGTGGGTTGTCTGTTTAGTCATAGTGGGTTGTCTGTTTAGTCATAGTGGGTTGTCTGTTTGGTCATAGTGGGTTAAGTTTTTAGTCAAAGTGGGTTGTGTGTTTAGTCGTAGTGGGTTGTCTGTTTAGTCACAGTGGGTTGTGTGTTTAGTCACAGTGGGTTGTTTTGTCTACTCAATTTTTAAAAAGTTTGAATAATGTTGAGTTATGTTCTTAACTTGAATGTGCTATGTGCTGTAAAAAATGTGAGTTATGTTCTTAACTTGAATGTGCTATGTGCTGTGAGTAATGTGCTTATTTGGATTGCATTGGGTGCGACAGTTTTGTTTTCAATAAATGTTTAGCAAATCATGAAATATAGTATATCAATGATATAGACTTGCATATGAAATGGTGTGCTTCAAAGTTCTAAAATCAGTTTTCATTTAACATTATTTTAAAGATATTTTTGTTAACCTGACAATTTTTGTTTAAATTTGACATGTGGTAACATATTATATTTTGCTAAAATGAATTTTTTTTTACATATGACCAATTTGTTAACGTATGATACTTTTGTTAACATATGAAATTTCTGTTAACATATTACATTTTTTTCAAAATATAAAATTTTTATTAACATACGACATTTTTGTTCACATATGAAATTTTTGTTACCAATTACACTTTTGTTAACATGAAATTTTTAACACATGAAATTTTTGTCAACATATGACACTTATGTTAACATGAAATTTTTGTAAAAATATGATTTTTTGTTAACTTATGACACTTTTGTTAACATGAAATTTTTGTAAACATATGACACTTTTGTTAACATATGACACTTTTTTTTTGTAAAAATATGATTTTTTGTTAACTTATGACACTTTTGTTAACATGAAATTTTTGTAAACATATGACACTTTTTTTAACATATGAAATTTTTGTTACCATCTGACTCTTTTTGTAAACATATGAACAAACAAACAAAAAATGCTGAAAAGGTATTTTTGATTACTTCACAGATATTCAAACGCGACTGTCCCGTCTGGAAAAGTTGGTGGACGAGCTAGAGAGAAAAATTGTCTCTAATGAAACTCTCGTGATGGCGCTGAAATTCCTGACAGATCAAATCAACAAGCTCCAAGGCAGGGTCTCCCAACTGGAGGCTTTCCCCGAAGATCCTGGTAGATTAAAGTTTAAGACTTTCAGATGGGAATTGTGGGGTTAGAATCCTGGGGTCGAAATTTTTTGGAGGGATACAATTCAATCTTTTGATGTTTAAATCGCTTTATCAGAATTTCGTAGTACCGTACTACAGAAAGTTAAGTGGAAAAATTGTACTCTATTATTCTGGCTATCTGCGAGTGAAGAGAGACACAAGAATAGCTATCCTGTTGAATATTATTTTGTCTCATTTACCAGAAAGTGTTGTGGATTTTTTTACCCATAAAATAAAGTAAACAGTAACGGGCTCCTGCTGTGAGGTCCATGCCAAGACTTGGTGTAATTAATTTAACGATTTTTTCCCCCAAATGATGTACTGATCCTCAGCAGACTTCAGGCAAATACAGAAGTATATCTGACCTATTTTGTGCAGACTCAGTCCTTATCTAGCTCACTGGGTTAATCTTGATACACTCATCCCCCATTGCCAGCATCGAGAAAATAGCTTGAGCCCCTAGGTTTAAAAAAAAAAAAAACAACAACAGAAAATTCACTGCACATAAAATAAACATTTCCTTGTGTTATATCCCTGACATTTCCTTATGTTAGATCCCTGACTTTTCCTTGCGTTAGATCCCTGACTTTTCCTTGCGTTAGATCCCTGACTTTTCATTGTTTTAGATCCATGACATTTCCTTATGTTAGATCCCTGACTTTTCCTTGCGTTAGATCCCTGACTTTTCATTGTTTTAGATCCATGACATTTCCTTGCGTTAGATCCCTGACTTTTCCTTGCGTTAGATCCCTGACTTTTCATTGTTTTAGATCCATGACATTTCCTTGTGTTATATCCCTGACTTTTCCTTGCGTTAGATCCCTGACTTTTCATTGTTTTAGATCCATGACATTTCCTTGTGTTATATCCCTGACTTTTCCTTGCGTTAGATCCCTGACTTTTCATTGTTTTAGATCCATGACATTTCCTTGTGTTATATCCCTGACTTTTCCTTGCGTTAGATCCCTGACTTTTCATTGTTTTAGATCCATGACATTTCCTTGTGTTATATCCCTGACTTTTCCTTGCGTTAGATCCCTGACTTTTCATTGTTTTAGATCCATGACATTTCCTTGTGTTATATCCCTGACTTTTCCTTGCGTTAGATCCCTGACTTTTCATTGTTTTAGATCCATGACATTTCCTTGCGTTAGATCCCTGACTTTTCATTGTTTTAGATCCATGACATTTCCTTGTGTTAGATCCCTGACATTTTCGTGTGTTAGATTCCTGACATTTCCTCGTTTTTGATCCCGTATCTTTATTTTACAAATCTATTGACCCAGCCAATGTTTATATTTATACTTTTTTTTTTTATCACAGACGCCAGACTGCAGACGCCAATCAGTGATTTTTCAACGATGTCCCCCTATGATCCAGAGCCCCACGAGGAAGGCGTCTTTAGCTCCGGGAGTGATGTCGTACAAGGTAATGTTGACAACGGTTCGCCCTTTACTAGCTTTGGTGATCTTTATGCCCTTACGACCACAGACGCCAAACATCAAGGCGTGAATCTCTTAACTGAAACAAATATCGAAGATAAACGTAAGAAAGGAACACACCGAAATACCCACTCTACAAATCTGTCGAAATCTAAAAAAAATCTAAAAAGGCATTTGCTTGACAAAAATTTTGAATTAGATGATGCTAGTGACATGAGAGATCCCAGAAACAATACGGAAAATGGATATAATTCGACATTTGCTGAACATGATATCAAAAAACATTCTACGCCCTACTTGAAAGGATTGTCCTCTTTAAGCTTAGAACTCTCTAAGCCAAATCTTGCACAGGAGATGAGATCGTCAGAGCCCGAAATCAAATTCATATCCATATTACAAACAATTAACCTAACACCTTCGCCACCAGTTCCCAGCACAGTTAGCTCACAAGTTATGTCCCCTGTTGATAGTGTCACTAAAAATGTATGTATCACAGGCTGTTCGAGAGACGAGAGTCCGAATTTACCTCCTCTTCCTCCGCTCTCCGTTGTAAAAGCAATTTTTCCAAATCATAGAAACATAACAAGATCTCTCATTGGTGGCCACCAAGAATTTTACAAACATTTAATTCTTGCTCTTGCTAAGTCCCCGAAATTTTCTAAAAAATATGAACACAAAATCAAACAATTCCTTCCATCAGGTGAAGACGAATCAGGATTATCAGACGAGCGCCTGACTTCCGTTCCTTCGAATCTAACAGAGTTGGCTTTCAACGATTACGAGCCTGACCGCGAACTCAAGTCTTATTTAGAAGAGCTCGGTGACGATCCAAACAGCAAACGGAAGTCGACGGACAGCGCAAGCACTTTCGACGGGGACATTTTCCCAGAATTCTCCGAGGCCGCCAAAAACTTCCAAGGTCAGGGACGAAAGATCACGATGCCACAACCGGCGTTTCTACGAAGCCGTGGCAGCGGTTCGTTGCAAGGAAGACGTTCCTCTTTGGTGATTGGTATTTTCGCCGTCATTAGTGTTATACACATTATATCGAAGCGTCGGTCCTAACAGTAATATTGTGTGCTGCTGGCCTATTCTTTTAAGTGCTGTGTACACCCATATTTGAACAAAAGCTGGTCAACTCAAGGACGTGTATGAGGCTTCTTCACGGTAAACTCATAAATGATTTTTAAAAATCCTTTCTTGAAAAAAAAAAAAGGGGGGGGGGGAAATGTGTCAAGGTCTTTTCCAAATGAAAGCCTGACATGACATATTATGGCTGTGTAGCGCGCGGACTCAAAAAACAGTCGAGTGTTATATTTTGATTTAAAAAAATTGTCACTAATTGGAAGATGATGTCATGAAACGTCCGGAACCCTAACAACTCATTCCTGGGGCTCACTCAAACGCTTCCCTCCTCATGAACCTTTTATGTCATGAACCTGCAGATGAATTTATCTTCATAAATGTTGAAAGGAAAAAAGTTTATAACTTTATATTAATAAGGTAAAAAAAAAAATTAATACAGTGATATTCACCATGAGAAAAAAAAAGAAGATCATAATTAACATGTTATCGCTACCGTCATTAAAATCTCAGTTCCGATGTACAGAGATGTGAGTTAGCTGTTCCGGTAGTTTTGTATGACTTTGATGGCATTCCATTACGACAATTACATCAATTGGATGAATGTGAGCTGTTTATTTTTATTTTTTAAAAATTTTTTTTTTAGTTACTTAAATGTTCCCTAATTTTTAACCGCCCTGTTCATTCCACTTTCTAGTTTCAAATAATGTACTGTAAATATCACCATCCACATTTCTTCCCCTGCCCGCAGTACTAGAGCCACCCGAGTGTATATCCTATGTATTTATTGCTATTGAAATGTGACATTACTTTGTAATGAGGGAGTTACAGTTAGGGGTCGTTCGCAAATGACCTCACGCAAAAATGACCTTTTTAGACCCCCCTCTCCCCCTTGTGACAAATTCTTCACCCTCCTCCCCCTTAGTGTCACGTCACACCTAAAAAATTCAAAGCGTGCATAAAATTTTCATAACTAAACTAAGATTTTATTTTATTCTGTAACATTTTCCCATAATGAATTAAGATGAAGTATTATTAGAAAACTGTAACGCGAAACAACAAAGTCCTCCCCGAGCCGAATGTAAAATGTCCAATGACAACCCCCCTCCCCACCCCCCCGAACGTGACTTAATTTGCGAGCGACCCCTTACAGTAAAACACAAGAGTTCTACGAAACATTGTTGTTGTTTTTTGTTTTCTTTCTGTGCTCCGTTGTTTTGTTTTTTTAAACGTGTTTACATTAAATGTATTTAATTCATTATTTATGGCTTTATATTTTTTGCATTGGTCATTTCTACTTCTTGTAGATCAGCGTTTCCCCAAAACTTTTTAAGTTTGGCGGACCGGCGGACAAGCATCACCAGGGACCGGTGTCAGTTTTAATCTTTATTGTTCTCTTCAATTTGACCTTAAATATAAATTATAAATGTTTTTTTATTCCGTAAAAGGACAGTTTGATAAACTCGATTCAATCTTACTTTTGAATGGTGGCCAATAAACATTGTTTAGTCCTGTTTTAAATTAAAAAAAAAAAAAAAAGAGTTGTTAAAGCTATTTTAAAACTTAAAAAAAAGAGTTGTTAAGGCTGTTTTAGAATTTATTTTTTCTTTATTTTTCTCTTTAATTTGGCCTTAAATATAAATTTTAAATGTTTTTTTATTCCGTAAAAGGCAAGTTTGATAAACTCGATTTAATCTTACTTTTGAATGGTGGCCAATAAACATTGTTTAGTCCTGTTTTAAATTTAAAAAAAAAAAAAAAGAGTTGTTAAAGCTATTTTAAAACTTAAAAAAAAGAGTTGTTAAGGCTGTTTTAGAATTTATTTTTTTAAAAAGGGGGTTGCTAAAGCTGTTTTAAAATTTACAACAAAAAACAACAACAAACAAACAATAAACCGAATCTATGTCATACATCGGATAAAACACTCCCCTTGAATGAAAAGTTTTCTTCACGAGAGACGATGTAGCTATTATGTAGCTATTGTTTTAATCAATATAAGCCCTTTCACTTTTCAGCCAGTGAGTTAAGGTGGAGATGAGTGCAGGGTCGTGCGAAGCGGGAGAACAAAGGGGAGGAGGGGGGGGGGCACACCAAGCAACATCAAGAGGCGGCAAAATCGCCTCTTTTTTTTTTATTGGCCCACCCCGGGGCGGGACTTGTTAAAATGTATGGGTACCGATTTCAGGCTTCACACTAGGCATCACTGTTCCATCGAGACGGCCCTGGGTGTGTGTGTGTGTGTCTCTTTCAGGGTGCAGGTATGTCCTGTGAAAATAAGCGATGCAAAGTTGCACAATTTTTTTTTCTATTTGGACATGACATCATAGTAGTCGAAAGGTGTGGCACATCAGTGCTTTCCCCTTTGGTCACGTGGATTCAGTATTCTTATGTTATCTGCCCCCCCCCACCCGTCCCTTTTAACAACCCCCCCCTCCCCCCCGAAACGTTACCTGAGGTCGCCAGTAAGCACGAAATTGTAAGGTTAAAAAAATGTTTTTATACTAAATATAATCTTTTTTTTAAAATGAGATTCTTTAAAAAATTATCTTGACAAATTTTTTGTGGACCGACAATGCAAGGCTCGCGAGCCTACTACCAACATTTGGGGAACGCAGTTATATATAATTAGACTATTAACAAATTCATTAATTTTAAGGATATGGTGCTCTTCTTATCTGTTATTTTGAATGTAGTTTTTAAATCAAAGCAATAATTGTAAGAAAAAAAGAAAAGTATTAAGGATTTCAATAATGGCATGTGGAAATAGTTCGTCTTCATCATCCATTAACAAAGTAATTGCATGATCTTCACCAGATTTTAAAGTTATTTGGTTATTTTAGTTGTTAAAAAATTTATTTACATTACAAGGTGAGAAATGTCTTGGCCAGAAATCTATGGAAAAAATATCATTAAACAGCAAACTATGCAATATTCACATCAACAACAGCAAACTATGGAATATTCACATCAACAACAGCAAACTATGCAATATTCACATCAACAACAGCAAACTATGCAATATTCACATCAACAACAGCAAACTATGGAATATTCACATCAACAACAGCAAACTATGCAATATTTACATAAACAACAGCAAACTATGCAATATTCACATCAACAACAGCAAACAATGGAATATTCACAACAACAGCAAACAATGGAATATTCACATCAACAACAGCAAACAATGGAATATTCACATCAACAACAGCAAACTATGCAATACTCACATCAACAACAGCAAACTATGCAATATTCACATCAACAACAGCAAACAATGGAATAATCATATCAACAACAGCAAACAATGGAATAATCACATCAACAACAGCAAACAATGGAATAATCACATCAACAACAACAAACTATGGCATAATCACATCAACAACAGCAAACAATGGAATAATCACATCAACAACAGCAAACAATGGAATATTCACATCAACAACAGCAAACTATGGAATAATCACATCAACAACAGCAAACAATGGAATAATCACATCAACAACAGCAAACAATGGAATAATCACATCAACAACAGCAAACAATGGAATAATCACATCAACAACAGCAAACTATGGAATATTCACATCAACAGCAAACAATGGAATAATCACATCAACAACAGCAAACTATGGAATATTCACATCAACAGCAAACAATGGAATAATCACATCAACAACAGCAAACAATGGAATCTTGACACTAAATGTTCAGTTCATTAATTTGTTTTTATTAACTTGGCAGGATGAAAGGCTTCATACACATATTATTATAAGATTCTTACAAGATTTGGTCAATGATATAATACAGCACATCACCATCAAGCACAGTACTGTGCAAGCACATCACAATCAAGCACATTACTGTACAAGCACATCACAATCAAGCACATTACTGTACAAGCACATCACCATCAAGCACATTACTGTACCCTACATCAAGTCATCAGATCAGCAAATGACTACAGCCGGCTGATTAACACAACATATTTAAAAATAGGAGCAGACTTACTGGGAATATTGAATGGACAACATGGTGTGGAATATATATCTATGCATGGAATCCAATCTATCACCAGCTGCTTGCCAAATGGTTCATTCATACAATCTAACCACAGATCCTAGATTCAATCAAACTGATCAATCACCGAGACTACTGTCATTCAGGCTAATAAAAAAATTGTTGAACCTCTTCATTTATTACAAATAAATATTTCTTTTTCTTTTTTTTTTAAAAATATTTTTTGTGCAGTTCTTTTTAGTTTTATAATTAGTTTTCAGAAAAGTTTAAATCCTTACAAGTTTTACTATTATAGTTGTCTCCCCCTCCCCCTATTATTTAGTTGTTTGTGTGGGGACAAATTATATTTTAAAATTAGGACAGCCATGAAAGACAAAAAAAATATTTAAAAAATGGTCATCTTTTATTTGGATACATTCAAATAGACTGCTTTAGTTTGAAAAATTCTGTTTGACAGAGGTTGGATACATTCAAATAGACTGCTTTAGTTTGAAAAATTCTGTTTGACAGAGGTTGGATACATTCAAATAGACTGCTTTAGTTTGAAAAATTCTGTTTGACAGAGGTTGGATACATTCAAATAGACTGCTTTAGTTTGAAAAATTCTGTTTGACAGAGGAATAAATTTAATTCGAGAAGAAGGAAAAAAACCCAACAACCACCCTGGTACACAGTTATTTTATTTTTACCATTTAAGGAGATGAGATGTCAAGGACAATTTGATGATAAGATATGTGGACCAAAAAAAAAAAACAAACAGCCATTGGAAGCAAGGAGAATGCCTCCTGTATCTTAAATATTAACTTAAAAGATGGCTTCTCGTGCTATTGGGGATTAAAAAATTATGCAGTTTGATTTACACAAGTTTACCCCCAACGCAAACTGTGATCACAGAACAAAGGGAAAGCATTGCCTCTAATAAAGATGGTACTTCATATTGTGGGTGTCTTAAAACCTATGACGTAAGTCTTTTTTTTTAAAAAAATGCTTTTGAACAGAAATTAAATGGTGACAAACAGTAACAATCATACATGTAGTACAATTAGATGGTAGTGAAATGTTATTTAAACTTAATTTTAAAAAACCCACCATAACCTTTTCTGTTGGGCCTAGTGAAGAGCAATACCCTTGCAGAGACAATGGCTTCAGTATGGCACAATAGCTGATCAAATTTCTAACAAAGCAAGCATCAATGACACGTGATCAGGAACATTTGAGGAACTAGTTTCTTAAAAGGTGGAGGAGAAAAAAAAGGACTATAATGTCTCAAAGTGTTAGAGTAATGTTAGAGTCAGTGTTAGAGTAATGTTAGAGTCGTGTTTAAGAAGTTAACAAAAGTTCTGGTCAGAAAAATTTCAAACTTTCATGGATGATTCTAAGGCTGGAGATTGCTTTATCCACTCAAACAAGTAAATAGTAATGGGCTAAAGTAGAAGAATGAGCATGGTAATTTTGATAATGTTTGAGAAGACTTTGGTCTATGTCTGATATCTGAACAATGTTTCTGAAACAAGGATTCTGTATTGACACGTTCAACTTTTCTGATCTATATAAATTGAGACATGTGTGGTTTACACAGCATATATTTTATTGAGGACACACATCACCAGCCTGTCCTCAAATATTATTGATCAACTTCCCCTACTGTGAAATCTATTTATGTAAATTATGGTTTATTATGTGACTTATTCATTTATTCATCTTCTTTTCTTGAGGAAAAAAAATTGTTACATTTTAAATAACAAAATTTAAAACTATAATGGTTTTAAAATTATAATTGTTTTTTTAAAGCCATGTTAAATTAAACACAATCAATGAAAGATGAGAGAGAATATCATGATGCTATTACCATAACCCAATAGCGCATAAAAAAAGTCATTAGTGTCACATCTTCCCTCTAATTATCCATTCTTCAGTAGCATTCAACTATACTTTCTGCATCCGGGAAAGTAATCACAAATAATGTACAGGCAGACAAGTTCAGATTTTTCTTACAGGCAGCAACACATCTGTTAAAGTAGAGAATAACAGTGAGCAGGACTGAGCATTGTCGTAATGTGTCAAGTTGTAAGACAGGATAGCATCTTCTTCCATTTTCAATCACCATGCTTCAAACAAGTCTCAGAAATTTTTTTTCCCAAGCTCAGTCCAGTCCAGTCCTGTCTTGTGGATTAAAAATAAAGGGTAACCAAAGATCTTTAAGTGATCGGACTGGTTAATAATTTTCTCGTTAGTATTTTCCTTCTACTTCAACAGACTGAGCCTCGTTTTAACCACCTGACTGAAAAATCATAAATTGTTTGCTTAAATTAATTCTCATTATTTTACAAATAATCTCACCAAAAAAAACCAAAACAAACAAAGACAATTTTAATCTTGTCACAAAACAGCTTCGTACCGGTAAATGATCTATTTCTCATGTTAAAGCGGATATAAAGACATAGTTAAAATGTTCAATGTCATGGCTCCAAACATCACAAAATTTGTCAGACTGACTGATATCACGGATCATACTGCTATAGTTCAACCCAATACTGACCACATTTAGACATACATATTACAAAAATAATAAAACAGCCCTTTTGCCTGAAACAAAAACAAAAAAAAAAAGGTCACAAAATGAAAAAGAATTCAGCTCTTGACTGCCTTTGTAAGTTAATAGAGACAGTTTGAGTGGCTTGCATTTGTTCAATGGTTAACCCTTTACAGTTCCATTCAAATTAAAATGCCTGTTAATTTGGTTGCTACATTTTATCTCAAATATTGCATTTCTGTTTGACCCGTACATGGTGAATGGATTGAATGTTGTTGTTTTTTTAAATATATATATTACTTGTTTAGAAAAAAAGCAGCTTAATTATTTTGACATTAAAAAAATAGTTGAAGAAGAGAGATTGACAAGAGGTGGATTTATATTACAGAATACTGCAAATGGCTTAGCATTTTTGTTTAAAGCATTATTAGCATTATTATTATACAAATGTCCACATGCCTCAAAAAACTGGAAATTATGTTATACTTTTTTCAACATGTATCTTTTAAAAAAAAATTTGTATGAAATAACACATCCACATCAATTTTATTTAAAAAAGGTTATGTTTGTTATTGCTGCAACAGTACAGGGTTATACCGGGTACTACAAACACATACTTATACAGATCTGCATGAAAAGAAAAAAGAAGTTTAAAAAAAATCTGGTGCAATCAAATTGCTACCGGAGGCCAACGACACGGTTGGCTATCAGAAGAATCACAAGGTTTATGAAAAATTCTCATTCAAATCCGCCCCAAACATTAAATTTGACCAGACCAGGACACAGTTAAAACAGTGGCATGTCATTTAGTATATATTTCCTACTGGAAACTGAAACCATACACAATCTGGGAGTCTCCTCAAATGACATTTCAAAGTTGATTTGGCTTAATAGATCTTGCTATGAAGACAGATAAACAACTCTTGTGCATCTTAGTTGGCTATGACATAATATAAGGGAGGTGACCTGGTCATAGTTTATGCCCCCCCCCCCCCCCCAACCTCCCACCACCAAATGTGCAGTGCACAAATGAATTCCACACAGACCACCTCCACTGTTTCCAAGATCTTTTCAAAACATATCCCTTTAACTCATCTAGGGCCTTCCCTTCTTCTTCTTTCCCTTGTTCGGTGCCCCAGTAAACAGCATTTAGTTATATGATGCAGAGTGTTAGTGCACTATTTATATATTTAGTGCTGACCAACTTGAACACAAACGATGAAAAGAATAAGTACACATTTATTTAAACCTACACGTTAAATAGAATGATATGACCATAGAATAGAATGATATGACCATAGAAAGTTGTTTGTATCCTTTGAGTGGACACACCATAACAAATCTACATCTCAAAATGATTAACATTAAAATATTGAGGATGATCCTTAAGAATCCTTTACAGGTTGTCCATATAGGATGTCCGCGTAAATACACAGTCTGTCAACCCCCCCCCCCCCC